ATGAAGCAATACACCACAAGGACTCAAAGCAGTCACGATGCCACTGGATTCTGCAGCCTGCATAACTTATTCTACACTGATCCTCTGCATGTATATGGCTGCGTGAGCAAGCCAGGGACTGATGACTTCTGAATCACCTCTCTTTATATACCTTTCCCTTGGTGAATTACATCTAGTAACACCTATGAAGTCAGTGCTCAATCCTCACCGTAAGGTGCTCCGAGGGAGGACATGAAGTGGTCTTTCAAAATGATCCTAATATTACTGGAAGCAGATGCCTACAGTTTCGATAATGAGAATTTCAGAATTTTGGAACCATAAGGGATAGTAGTGATCATGTACTCACCGGCCAGTTACAATGACCCAGGAGAGAGAAAATCTGGAGCCGTGAAAATTCTGAGGTTTCTTTTCTTTCTTTCTTTTTTTTTTTGATTTTATTTATTTATTTGACAGAGAGAGAGAACACGTGCACAAGCAGGGAGAGCGGCAGGCAGAGGGAGAAGTCAACACCCTGCTGAGGACCCTGGGATCATGACCTGAGCCAAAGGCAGATGCTTACCCGACTGAGCCGCCCAGGTGCCCCAATTCTGAGGTTTCTGATAACTGTTTCCTCCCCCTGAGCTCTAAGTGCACTGAGGAAACAACATAGTTTCAGGCTATGTTTAGTTCATGTGTTAGAGATCGCCAAAATTTACTAATAGGTAATTTACAGTAACACAAGCAACCATGCTTCTTCATCTTCCCTGTCTTGATTTACCTAATTAATATCTTAAATTGCCTCCCAATTTAGCTAAAGGAGTTGAAAGAAGGGCCAGAGGGCCACGGAATGTTCTGTTCAAATTGTTAGGTTAGTAAAAAGCAATGGGATGGGAGAAAACCTACCAGTGACTTTGCGGGGTTCCTTTGCCTCTTTGGCTACTATAGGTTTTGAGGTTATTATCTAAAAAACTGGTCATTCTGTAGAAACAGGTAGGGGAGGTCACTTACAAAGAGTTAATAATGATATGTGAAGGCTTTTTTTTTGCAGCAATGATGGAAAATATGAATAAAATATTAAATTGAACAGGATATGCTTATTAGGGTCTTCTGAAGCAGAAAACAGCTTTCTAGGTATAATTACAAAATCTACTGGCTTTTCATTTGCAATCACTTCCAAAGATCTTGACAGCAGTGTCTTAAAAACGTCTGAGAGTAGATGATCCCCACTGTCCTTTTCAGTTCCAAAATTCTGAAATTCTCATCACCCAAATGGTCATCAGTCTGCTCCCAGTAACATTATGCTCACTTAAAAAATACCACGCTATTCCCTTTCTCTGAGTATTTTAAAAGTTAAGATTATACATGTCTTGTACATTTCCTGTAAGTCATCATATGTAATTAACCAGGAGGAAAGGACAAAGAATTTTAAAAGAAAGCAAACTGGAAAACTTTCCCCCTGCGCCTGTATTCTGCTTTTCTTGTCTGTTGCCTTTAGGACATCCATGTGGCACTGAGGCTGCCCAATCTTCTCAATCTAAAATGTGAGCAGTTGCAAAGACCTTCCTTGGCCCCTGGTGTTTTCCTAAACTTACCTAGGCTTTGCACCGCATAGTCAAGAAGTCACTACACTGAGGACAGTGGAAATACAGAAAATCAACAACAGTGCCCCGGAGCATTTCTCCAGATTGCCAGTGCGGGGGAGCTAATAGGTTGTTGCTGGAAAGGGGTGGATGAAGAGTCAAGGGTGACACATCACTGGAAGAGTCGTACGTGTCTTGGAAAGGGAGGTCTTTCTGAGGACACATTGATCAGGGAGTCATGTGACATATTCATGTGTATAAATGGCAATGCGGCATTTCATTCATGGGTGGAAACAGGTAAAGCCCAGTTTTCCTAAAAGTCAATGCTCTGTATAAATTAGAAACTTGAACTACAGAGGCAAGCTTGCTAGGGAAAGACTAAATTGATCACTTTTATAAGACCAAAGCTTATTTAAATTTGTATTAGTGCTGTGGAAATTACAGAATGGTTTTGGGAAAACTTGCCAAGAAATAAAATGTTGGAAAATACTAGAACTTTGTTAGTATTTATGTTTGTCTTGCAGCTCATTTTGATAAGCCCCCAAGAAACTTAGTTATCCATTGGATAACTAGTAGTAAGAAAAATTGGTCTTAATTTTCAGTTTATCATGACTAAGCACTATTTTTGTAATAATTTTTCATTCATTTCAAATAAGATTTATTAAATACCCCATGTTCTCTGAAGCTCTGCAAGTATTATCATCAGCTCCAAGCTGGAACATTCTGTAACCCTGCTCTAGATCTGTGCTGTCCAATAGAAATAAAATGTAAGCCACATGTGTAATTAAAGAATTTTCAGTATCCACATTAAAAAAGGAGGAAAAAGATGAGATTAATTTTAATAATTTATTTAAGCCTAAATATCAAAACTATTATCATTTCAACATGCAGTTGATATAAAAATATACATATGACATTTTAAACTCTGTCTTTTTTTAAAAGAAGTCTCTAAAATTCAGTGTGTATTTTATATTTGCAGCACATAACAACAAACTAGATTTTCAAAGGTTAAAGTGAAATGTAGTCTCAGAGAAAAAACACAGCTGCATTTAATGGACAAACACCTTATACAGCAACAGTTTTTAGGTTTACATTTAAATGAGTTAAAGTAAAACTACTAGTTCATTCTCACAGTGGCCCCCTCTCAGGTGGCTGATGGCCACCATACTGGACTGCACAGCTCTAGAACATTTTGTATGATCTCACACAATGGTGTGATTTACCTGTTTACTTAAGTCCCTCCTTATAAGATTCATTCATCAACAAGGTGGTCCCAAGGCAGAAGGCGGGGTATATTGAGAACTAAAGGTTTCCTTTAAGAATATGGACAAGAGATTACATATTTCACCTGCTTTAAGAAAGAAGGGTAATGGTGACTAACTGAAGTAAGTACTGAAAATTTAGGGAGAAAAACTCAAGTGTGTGCCAACTAATCAACAAACTGTTTCAGTTTATCTTCATGTATCAAGAACCTACAGCTATTTAAAGAACTACATAACATTTTAACAATTCCTTTATTATAATTATCTGCAATTTTAGGACGTGAGATCCATAAATTACAAGTGGTTTAGACTTTCTTAAAGTGATGCTAAGTAGGGAACATTTAATCTTACCTTCATCAAGTCATAAATCTTGTTGCTCTTTATTATGGTTGAAAGATCATAAATAAATTTTTAATATGCCTACATTTTATCATTGACATTTATGATATGTTTTTGTATATTTTGACAAAATACCAAGGTAGAAGGAAAAAGCTCCCTTGTATTTGCAACTGTAATTGATGTTGACATCTGTATTTATGTATCACAAAATCTTGTGTAAACATACTTCATAGGGGTCACAGGAATGTTTTAAATGAATGTACCAAGATACCCTACCTACAGTGCCATTTAGAACAAAATGATATCATAAAGTGGACCAGCTGGACACACATTTTAACAACATTTAAATAACCCCTATGAGATAAGCAGTTTGAACTCCAAACAATTGTTTGATATCATAATTCCATTTTAAGGCTTTGAAGTTGTGCTAACAAATGAAATGGAGTCACAGTTTTTGTATGGAGGTTTTCAATAAGGATTCTCATGAACTCTTTTATAATAACTACTGTTGGAGTTATACTAGACAATAATATTCCCTCCTGGGTGTCAATTATGAAATTCAGCTTTAGTGGCATGACATACAAATGCCAACGTTTCTTGCTAGGCAAAGAAAATGGTCAAGTAACCGAATCCTGTTTTTTCTGCTGCACTGTAATGATTGAACATTCAATCATAGCCCTTTGCATCCCAGGCCACCTTTCCCTCACCTGTGAACACGGCAAGGGTCACGTTTCATGAGTTCGTTACAAACACAGACATGCTACAGGTAGCAGATAGGAGGCACTTTTCTTCTGTGTGTGAAGCTCACATGGGGTTCTAGAAATGGTTGAAATCATGGCCACGTTGACAAGGGAATACAAACTCACTAATCATCCCACACAAGGGCCTAGGAAAACAAGTCTCATTACAAAAGAAGTATCTGAGAGGGTTTCCCCATTGGCAGAGTATGGATTGGAGCTCTTATGATTCTCAACCTACTCCAACTGATTGAGCCCCTTAAAGCAATTCCCTTCTGCTGCATTCTTTTCCAGATGAGAATGACCTTTGAGAAGAACTCACTATAAAAAAAAACAAAACACATCAACTAGCTCAAAGCACAGTCCTCTCAAATCAAGCCACAGGAAAATCGTTTCCCTGTAGTGCAGGGCAAATTTTCTACTGACCCGATCTCCGCTCGGTCAGGTATTAGGAGACCCAAGGGCACCTTCATTCCTAAATGTTTTTCCAATAACCTTTCCATAAATGATGTGGTAAATCATCCACCTCAGATAATAAGGCTTTTAAAAAATGCAGTGACAAGGGTGGTGGGGATGGGGAAGCACACGTAACAGATAGTTTTGTGGGTCTATCGAGATGAGTTGAGAACAGCAGGCTATCACCTGGGGCCAGTACAGAAAACCCAACGCTGTTGACAGGATTGACTGTAACATATGTTTCTGGTATGGAACACATGCTCAGAGAAAACAAAGGGACCCAGATTTATCTCCCTTAGAGAGACAAGCCTTTGAACCTCTTTGGATGAACATTCTGTATTAAAACCCAAAGCCTCTGTCTTCTAGGTTGAACGTAAATCCAACTACAGCAGACATCTTGTGAGGGAAAGAAAGGCGAGCTAAATGAAATAAGATGTGGCCGTCCTTACTTTAACATGCCACTAAAGCTTACAAAAATATTTTGACATTTCCAAGTTGGGCTTCCTTGACTTAGCCAGGGAGGGTGAGACATTTGGGGAGGTTTACTATTACTGAGGCTTGAAGTGTACCTTGTTCCAGGTGTAATGCAGGCCTTCAGAGACATCACTTTATTAACCTTCTCAACAATGCTTTCAGGTGAATATAACAGCCTCAGGGAGGTACGGTGATTTCCTGAATGTTTCCTAATTAGAGTGGGTGGAGCCAGGGTGAGGCCCAGGAGAATGTGTGTGTGTTTAATAATATAATCCCATTTTTTTATTTTTTAAATTTAATTTTTAAAAATTTTAATTAACCCATATACTGTATTATAAGTTTCAGAGGTAGAGTTTAGTGATCCGTCAGATGCATATAACACCCAGTGCTCATTCCATCAAGTGCTCTCCTTCATGCCCATCACCCAGTTACCCCATCCCCCACCCCCTTCCCTTCCAGCAACCCTCAGTTTGTTTCTGAAACACATTTGAAATGTGAGTCTTGCCCTGTGTTGCCTGACCCCGTGCTAGAGTTTCCTAGTGCTTTTATTTTTTTTAAGTATGTTCCACACCCAGCCAACGCTGTGCTTAAACTCGCAACCCTGAGATTAAGACCTGAACTAAGATGAAGCGTCCGATGCTTAACCAACTGAGCCACCCAGGCGCCCCCCTCGGTGCTTTTAAAGCACAGTGCCAGGGCCCCAGCCCAGCCCTCCTCAATCCCGATATTTGGGGTGAGGTCTTAGCATGTATGTATCTTTAAAGTTGCACGAGTGATGATGCTTTGCATACTCAGGGTTGAAAATCACTAATCAATGGATTCATCCAGTTTAAATTACTAAAAGTACATCAGGCTAGAAAGATTAAATTTTATAATTACATTTTAAGACTTCACCGATAAGACGTCATGATAGTATCAACTTACATACCATCCAAAGCAGTGCCTCTCAAGTTGTACTGTGTACACGAGGCCCTCATGATTGTGATAAAATGCAGATCCTGACTCAGCAGGTCTGGAGTGAGGCTTCTTTCTGAATTTCTGACAATTTCCTAGGTGATGCAGATGGTGCTGTCTGCAAGCTGCACCACGAGTAACAAAGACCTGGGGACCAGGGTTCAAGTGGGGGTTGTATCTATGGAATGACCCAGAGACAAAGGTTTAAATCTTAATATTTTTTTCCCAGAGCTCTGGCTGTGATCACCTTCATGGTAAACTCAGGGTCTGGGTGACCGTGTCCCCGTGTCCCCGTGTCCCCGTGTCCCGGTCTGCTCTCCACGGCCTTGCCAAGCTGTGGAGGACTCCAGCAGTTGTGTTGTGACTGATAGACCCCCGTCAGTAATGTTTAGTAGCCTCAATTTTAAAATAACATTTCATTCAAATGAAGATCATAGTGTGCTTTTTTTCCAGGTGAAAATTACAGTTCTTTGCATAGAAAGGATATGACTAAGGTCATCCAGCTGTCCCTAAGGAAGAGTTTCCCCCCAACATCCCCACCTCACTTACCATGCTGTCTTTAAAATTAAACAATTAGGAGGATTGCATTATAGTGATCATTGCTATCTGGACTTCCTCCAAACAAAATGGCTTGATGAAAAAGTGGTATTAGTCCTGCACTGATTTTTTTTTTGAGTAGAAATTGACACTGAAGGTTTAAAAATTTGATCAAGCAGCACTAAGAAATTTCCAGACTGAGATAAGAGAAGAGTGATCCAGAGAAGAAACTTTCCTCAAGTTAATGTAATAAGCACTTAAATGTAGCACAAGCAGAACAGTGATTTAAAAAATAATTATTTCAACAAAATTATTGTGGCTCTATATTTTTCAGATACTCACTGCTATGCTTCCTTCTGGGAGTTTTGCTGGCTGATCTTTATAAGGCATCTTCTTAACTTTGAAGGACACCAGGGATGCAAGAGAATAGGGATCATTTTTTCTCTGAAATTAAAAATATTTATTTAAATATATTCCATGCAAATATTTAAAAAGTTATACAGGCAGCCATCCAATTGTTTTCCAAAGCAAAATTTCATTTTTCCTTCTTTTTTCATTTTTCTCTTCAAAAAAATTTTCCCCATCCGATCATCCATCATACATCCAGACATCCTTTGAGACATCCATTCCACTGTCCATCCAACTGCCCATCCAGTCATTCATCCTTTTCTTAGTTCTAAAAAGAATTTGTCGTATTAACAAAAGACTTGGTACAACGACGTTAGAATAAAAACAGAAAATCAGAGTCCTAAAAAGGATCAAGCACAAAGATTAATATAGTTGCTGCTAGTGAAGAACAAAGGGGAGATACAGTGGGTTATAAAATTCTTATTATCTGATAGAGGGAAATATTTTAGGAGAGAGACTGATACTAAGTTATAAAGAAATTTATCACATTTCATCTGATACAGAAGATCCAGAGTAGGCTCTCTTAGTCTCAGCACTGTTAGGATTTTGGGGTTGGATGGGGTACTGTCCTGAGCATTGTAGGATATGTAGCTCTCTCTGACCTCTACCCACTAGATGTCAGGCCAGTAACACCTCTATCCCAATTGTGACAACCAAAAATGTCTTTAATTATTGTCAATGTCCCTCGAGGAGCAAAATCCCCTTGGTTAAGAACCACTGATTTAGGGGTGCCTGGGTGGCTCAGTCGGTTGGGCGTCTGCCTTTGGCTCAGGTCATGATCCCAGTGTCCTGGGATAGGGCCCCTCATTGGGCTCCCTGCTCGGTGGGGAGCCTGCTTCTCCCTCTCCCTCTGCCTGCCTGTCTGCCTACTTGTGATCTCTCTTTCTGTCAAATAAATAAATAAAATCTTAAAAAAAAAACAAACCACTGACTTAAAGCCATAGAATTTTTGATAAAACTTTTCAGCAAAAAAATTTTTTTTTTGTTTAATTGGTTCTCATATTAACTGTTGATTAAAGTCAAAGGAAAATATTTAAGACTAAGTCAAGGAACATAAATTTTGAAAACGTAAATTTCTGTGGTTCCCCACCATTTAACTTGAGACAGTGATTAGAGCTATCCAGTCTTAGGCTGGAGCTGGTTCATAATGGCTCTTGAGAGCAGACTGTTAAAATTTCAGGAATTTTGAGTATCAGTTGTTAAACAGAGCCATTATTAAAACTTCTATCTATGTAACTTTCAGAAAATTGTATTTTTTAAAAGGTCATACACACTCCAAACTCAGTATTTATTAACTATTTTATTGTATTTTGCTAGTACCTATGCTCTGGATATTATTTAAGTCTGTTGTATCTGGAAGGGGATGTGCCTCTCTTCCCAACTCCAGATTTGGTGACGTTATGCTGGCAGCTTGAAATCGGCCACGGTGGGAATATTTACACCATGGAAATCAACAAATGCTGCACATTGGAGCTTCCCCCACTACTCCCACAGAGCAGTTTATTAAACATTCACCAGCACTTCACCATTTATAATTCAATGTTGGGTTTCTTGAAGCCAATCCATCAAGTTGGATTGTAATAATTTTGTTTACATTTTTTTACGAAGTTCTTTTTTTTTTCTTCCTGTGACTGAATGTTTTTCTCTTTTCAATAAATCCCATTTCCTCTAGATGATAAGGACAGGCAAGAGTATGCAACATTTTTAAATACTTAAAGTCACTATATCTTTGACTTTTTCTCTCTTTCTATGCCAACATTCCAGAATAAGTAACTTTATTCATTTGGAAAAATTATTTTTTGGTTGTTATTCTTCTGATGTTCTCTTGTCTCCTGGCTTTTCCATTTTAACTGAAAGTTGGATTTGTTTGTATGAGAAGTGTTTTTTAAAACGTGGAAAAACTTTGCTCATAAAATCTGGCATGTACTTGGTGATTGAAATCTACTTTCTTTAGCACCCTGGCTGGTAGGCACAGAAGGAACATGACTATATTCTGGTCATAAGATTCTGCATAAGAATCACAATTACATACTCATGTATGTCCATGCTCCCCAAACTCCAGTGAACAAGTTTTCTCTAGTCTCCAAGTTCAATTAAAAAAATTGATAGAAAATAATTCTCTTGCTCTCGAAGTCGTATCTTTGAGGAACAAATCAATAGAGACCTCCATCTCTGTCTCAACTCTAGATGGGAAGTTTTGTCCTGCCTGATTCTGCATTTATGAATATGGAAGTTTCTTAATGAATAAAAGGTGGGATTTGAACTCTAGAATGTAGAACAGGGAGAAACATGTTTGTCTGAGGGGATTTCCATTCACCTCCTTCCTTTACCCCCTCTGCTCTTGGCCATAGTTTGATTTTTCCTCATGTTTTACTTTATCCCCAGTCCTTAGTATCCTTTCCAGTGGTTCACAGCCCCGTGGGCTTTGCTGAGCTTCAGAAACACCTGGGATCAGGCTCAGGGATTCTAATTCAGAAAGATGAGGATGAAACTATATTTTTCCTACATTGTTTGCAATTTTGACATTGTTGTTTAACTTATTATTTGTCTCTATTACTTTTCTCCTCAACAAGATTATATAGAAATGGAGGGTGTAAACCATGGGATATAATGTTTATATCTTCCACAGCACCTTGAACAGCTTCAACCCTGGCTGACTGACCACGTAAATGGATAGTGAATGAACCCTTTGACCTCACATAACACCCATTTTATAGCACCTTATAGAAGGTTTAGTTCTTTCAATGGTTGAATTGGACCCCATCCACTATCAACTAGATTAGAAAGTTCAAGAAGTTCTAAGAAAGGTAGTGACATAAAATGGGGGCTGTGGTTCATGAAAACGGGCTGTTGACCTGTCCCTCCACTATTTGATTCAGTGACGTAAACTGACACAGTCTGGGGCCTGAACAAATTAAGGTGGTAGGCAAATAGCCTGCAAACAATACAACTCATAGACAGATCTACTCCTTATTTTAAATTATTCTCCAAACCCAAGATTCTTCCATCCTTTTCAGTAGGAAAATGCATTTATTTTTTCATTTTTCTAAGATGCTCTGGAGCTCCAAGGAATGGGGATATGTAAGCAATTAGACTATGATCAGCTGGGGTGGCACCAAAGATGCGCTAGTCTTGTGACTGCAGGTCAAAAGCATGGCACAAGTAAGTATTTAATTCATGAACAACAATTATGAGCAGAGTCATATTATTGATTCTACGTTCAAAGTTGAATGCTTTTAGCCATGGTCTTCACATAACAACTACATTATTCTTAGGTTTAAAAGAAATCTCCTCTTCCATATAGCAATATACTCAACTAATAGCAATCACTGCTACATTGCAGGCAATTTAAGACTGAAAAAGCAGCTGGAGTTAATATCCCTTGACAATACCTGGGACCTTCGACCTGCCCCAGCTAGCTATTAATCCTCAGAAAATGCCCTGTTCCTCTCTCATTTCTGCGTCATTTCGACCGTGGTTTGCAGCTCACTAGCTGTCATGCACTTTTGCACAATGATTTGCTCACGGTCTTGGTACTAATACAAGTCCTCTAGTCGGTAACAAATGGAGAGTGAGGCTTTTGAATTGGTTAAATACATGGTGTGGCTGGTAACGTCATGAGCCCTTCCACTCCTACCTTCCCACGGCTCACTTCCTTCTCAAGAATTCTTTTTGACCACATAGCCCATGTTTAAGTACTCAACATATGCCAGAAACAAAGCCTTGTGAGCTGATAAAACCTAAGCGATTACTAGTGAAATCTTACCCTGGGAAGGATTGTTTCAAGCAACAATCACAGGACAGGTTATCATTTAGGACTATTCTAAATAAAATCTTTTTCTGACTGGTTTGCATGTTCACCAAGTGGACAGAAACAAACATAATGCAGCAAATCATGTCATGCAAGAATTGTAAACTTTCTAGTTCAGATTAGGAAGGCAGAGAATGTTTACCTCCTTCTGGATTGCATGACAAAACCGTTAAAGACCTCCAGTATGTAGTATATTCTTAGAGAGAGTGGGAGAGGCAGGGAGGGAGCGAGGGAGAGAGACTGCAATAAGGAAGGCACTCCTCTTCAGCACTCAGATTACAAGACAGGGAATAAGCAGAAACTGGGTGTGTGGAAATGTGGGCTATGGCTGTGGGTAAATGCTGGTGATTTGAGCCACTCTCTCTGGTCTTGGTTTTGGCTCAGGTCATGCTCTCAGGGTCCTGGGATCATCGAGCCCCATATCGGGCTCTGCGCTCAGCGGGGAGTCTGCTCGAGATTCTCTCTCTCCCTCTGCCCCTCTGCCTGCTCTCTCTCTCTCTCTCTCTGTCAAATTAACAAGTTAATAAATTAACAATCTTTAAAAAAATTAAATAATCATGTTTCCCTTGACTGTGGTGTCGTAATGATTTTAGTCCTGTTTCACCAAAAAGTTATTCTCCCTTATTTCAGTAGGATGTGATACCCAAAGTAATAGAAGGAATGTATGGTTATCATTGAACACTGTATGGGCTTGGGAATTCAGTGAGACTCCTCTCCTCAACTCCTCAACTCTGAGATAAGTAGTAAGAACCCCAAAACAGAGTGACCATGAACAAATCGATGGAAAGGAAGCGATACCTGAAGAGGAGCCTGGTACATAGTTGGCACTCCATGGGTATTTGTTTAGTGAATGAATAAATAATGATTTAACTAAAAAAAAATTTAAAAATCAAATAAATTGTGTACTGCACTTCTCCCTGGTTCAGGCATTCAAAACTGGGGGTGATTTTGCCCCCAGGGGACATTGGCAATGTCTGGAGACAGTTTTGATGGTCATAACTGGGGAATGGGTTGCATCTAGTGGAGGCGGGCAGGGATGCTGCTAAGCATCCTATAATGCACTTCCTATAAAGCATTCTATAATCCTATAATGATTGTTCCCCACAACAAAGAATGATCTGATCTGAAAGAGTATGCTGAGATTAAGAAACCCTGCCTTAGTTAAAAAATAAAAACCTTCACCACTATTTCATAAATACCTTTAACTTTCCTTCTATTTATTTTAGAAACAAAATTAAATAGGATTTGCGAGACTACAGAAGTATTTTGAATCCCAGAAAACATGAAAATCCAGAGTTATGAAATTCTGTATTTATTAGTTAGACTCAAAAGGACTTTACCATTTGATTTTCTATGGTGCAATGAGCCAGATGAATTTTTTAATAGTTAAAATGTGAGCAAGAATGCATAGATTTGGTAGGGTTTTAAATTTATCTTATTTTCTCCTCTCTAAATCCTTTCTAAACAACAAGGTCACAACATAGTAGTATCATTTGAATAAATAGCTCTTTCCAAATGGAAAAAATTAATTTGTTCAGTATAAAAGAGATCTTAGAACTTTAAAATGCACGCAGTCCACGGAATTATCTGTGGCAGGGTGGGATGCCACAGATTAGATACATGGAAGCAGCCAAGAACCTCTTAATCACACATATGTGGAATGTCACTAAGATGCATCCTGGCTGGGGCCCAGGCTGTGGGAATCTCCCCTTTCCCTTCTTCATTGATTTCTATTTTGACTCTTTGGGGCATATGGCTTACACTGTGCTCTTATGTGTGCCATCATTCCACTGACTAATATTTACTGAAAACTACTATGTGCTGGGCACTGGGTAGAAAGTGGTGAGCTAAATAGATTTATTCGAAGCTAAGTTACTGTCTAAAGGCCTTAGGGACTCAGGATATTTTCATTGTCTTCACCTAAAAGATGAAGGAATATTACTCAGCCATAAAAAAGAAGGAAATCCTGCCTTTTGTGACAACACAGATGGACGAGGAGGAGGACATTATGCTAAGTGAAATGAGTCGGAGAAAGACAAATACTGTATGACATCACTTACATGTGGAATCTAAAGAAGCAGCAGTCAGAAATAGAGTAGATCAGGTTGGGCCTCGGGGTGGGGGGATTGGGGAGATGATGGTCAAAGGGTACAAACTTCCTGCTATAAGATGAATAAGTTCTGAGTATCTAATGTATAATTAACAATACTGTATTGGATTCTTGAGAGCTGTTAAAAGAGTAGGTCTTAAAAGTTATCACCTGCCCTCCACACACACACAAAGATAATTACATGAGGGGATGGAGGTATGAACTAACTTCAGAGTAGTAACCATTCAAAAACATACAGGTCTCCAATCATCATGCTGTATACCTTAAACTTCCATATATGTCAGCAATATCTCAATAAAGCTGGGGAAAAAAAAAAGGTCTTCACCTGATGGGAAAGATGACCAGCTGATCTCGGCTCAACGTCTCCACAGACGCTTCTTTTAAACAATTTTAAAAATTAAAAAATTTTTAAAAATTAATAAAAAATGTTAAATTAAAATTAAAATTAATTCTAAATTTTTTAAATGAAAAAAATCAAATTTTTCTAAATTTAAAAATTAAAACATTTAAAAATCCTTTTTAGGAAAACTTCCAGCTGAGCTTTTGAGGAGAGGTTCCCTATGAGCGGGTGCATGAGCGTCAGTGTTGTTACCTGGAGGAAGGTCTTGGCCCATAACCGTGACCTGACTTTTAGGACGGCGCTTTCTCCTCCTTCTAGCCGCCCCACTGCACAGGAGATTTGTAAGCACTCGATATTTGTACAATTCTGCAAAACAAAACAAAACAAAACAAACAAAAAAACCCCCCAACATTGAAGTCAGCTTATCTGCACGGTATTTTCTCAGAAGTCACCACCTAATTCATAAATTATTCATTTAAACAACAAACAATTACATTGAAACAACCAAGAGAAAGCCCAGTTTGGTAGTAATGATGCATCAATTTTACTGGTAGTGTAGAGATAATGGAATGTAAAATACAACATAAGATTTAAGCTTTGTTTTTTCCTAAGGACTTAAAACAATTCTCTGCAGCAGTGATTGGATTGTTCTTTGTTGATTTCATTTCTCAGAAGGCAGGAAGATATTTCTTATAGACCCTTACAACACGTGACCCTGGACTAAAGGAGCCCTGAAAAGGCTTCGGAGGAAGCTCCCTGTATCTATATTATCTCAAAGACCCAGTGTTATCAACCCATTTTTTCCAAAACATTCTTCCTTCTAAATTACTTCTTGGTTGTAAAGCAGAACCTTCGAGTTCCATCCATTAGGCTGTTTTTAAGCTAGTTCCTAATTTTGCTAACTTACAACAGGCAACTTTTATTATATAAAATGCATGTTCCAGGGAAGTATTCATTGTGATGACATTCTACCTGTCAAATCATATTTTTTGATTGGGTCCAGTATGGAAATAAATAGACAGCTCACATCTGTTTTCTGTGAATCCATGTACCGGATGATACTTCTTGAATTGTACTCCCTCACTGATTTGAACTTATCGTGTGGGCTATGCTTTATTTATTTCTCATGTCTCAAGCACTGGGCTCTGGACTATTGATGCTCAATAAGCATTAGTTTATTGACTAGTATGAGCAGGATTTAACTGAGGCATTTTACTTCAATGAAATTGCTAAACCACAGAGTAGCTTGAGGGACATATTGCCATGAAAATCTTTTTTGAGAACCTCTGAATTCTCCAAAAACAAAGCAATCAGTAAGGGGCATCTGATAAATTCCAGGGAGGTCAGATTTCGACATGCTGTTTCCAGGTTCAGGTGGTGGGGCTGTTCTTATTCTACTAGGGTTGGGCGCTGAGGTGTTTGGGGTTTTGTGCCTACAGCAGGAGCAGGAATTCTGGAAGCGCTGCAGTTTGTGTCCCCTGTGAGGACCCTCATGTTTACCTACACTTCATTACTGACATGCTGTGTATCTCCAATCCCACCCTTTGGAGGCAAAGAAGGCGAGTGAGAAGGGGGTGATTCTTGTAAGCTCCCTGGACCTGTTGGTCCTGGTGAGCTAGCTCTGTTGGAGGATTCTGGAGAAAGACTGTGCTCAGAATGAGTCCTGAAGGGCGAGAAAGAGTGACCTAGCCATCTAGGCAGACAGGGACAAGACCAGTGCATGTTCAGAAAAGAGGAGAAAAGGGTATTCGGGGGCAGGGTGGACAGATAGAAGTGAGAGAGGAATGAGAGGAAGTCTACGTGGTAAAGAATATTCCTATTGGAGCCAAGGAGTTTAGATTCTATTCAGAAGGTCCCGTTTAAGCAAGGGCTATGATGGGGTTTGGGTTTTAGGGGCAGGTGGTATGGGAGGCAAGAATGGGGGGGAGGAGAGTGGGAAGCAAGGAGGGTGACAAGGGCTTGTTGCAAGAGTCCAAGGGAGAGGGGAAGAGGCCCTGAACTGAGGTACGGGGATGGAAAGAGGAAAACGGAGTTTAAGGAAGTTCAGGAAGTAGGATGAGACATTGGTGACAAATTGGAAGTTGGGATGAAGGAGAGGGAGGACTGTAAGGAGGATTGTAGGGAGGACTGGAGGGAGCCCTTTTGGCTTGGGGAACCGAGTGGATGGGCACCGGTGTTCCTGCGTTTGGGAATTCTAGAAGAGAAGCACATTCTGGGGGTCATGGAGACAGAATTCTGGATGTGTTGGGGCTGGAGTGGTTATCAGGCATCCAGAGGAATGTATACACTGAGCTCCTCGAGTCTAGACTGTAGTAGGGACTGCTAAGATGGCAGGAGGCCCATAGGCATGGCTGGAGTCCATGATCGTGCAGAACGTTTCCCTGAAGGAGCGAAGTTGGTGGGAGAAGGAAGGGATCTGAGGATGGAGACCTGACGTACAGGGGCATCTGAGAATGGGCAGAGGAGAAGCCCACAAACAATTCTAAGAAGGCTCAGGCCAACAGACTGGAAGAGAACCAGGAGAGAGTGTTTTGCGGGAGGCCAAGGGACATACAGTTTCAGGAAGTGATTAGTAGTATCAGAGGCTGAAGAAGGTTTGAAAGATAAGGTTTCTGTAAGCCGAGAAGGGAAAGGGACAAGAAGAAAGCCTGGTGAGGAGGAGATGGTATGGTCATTATAAGAGCAGCAGGGGTCTGAGAGGAGAGAGGCAAGGACGCTCTTGGGCAGAGGAGAAGTATATTTCAGTGTGACAGATACAAATTTTTCCTATGCAAATTGGAAATTATGATCCCAACACAGGATGCTGGCATTTTGCACTTTCAAATTCCTAATCAGAAATGGGATTCAGTAAGTTGTTTTTAACTAAACAAAAACCGTAGGAGGTCTTATTGAACTTTTGATTTTAGAATAAACTTTGTATAATCACTTTCTATCCAAAACTGTTTTGACTTGAGGACAGGCGGAGGCGTATGATTTGCAATTTTTGAACCAATAAGAGACAAAGAGAATAAAGCATGAGTTAACAAAGTCAGAAATGGCTTTAAAATAAAATTTTAATAAAAATAAAAATTTACAGGGACTGGAACCAAAATCTGTCCCCTGCCATAGCTTTTTGCCAGGTAACTTTAGGTACTTCTATTATAATAAACATTCCTCTATTGATTTAAGTTTAACTGAATAAGACTTGCTCGATGTACGTTTCTGTCCATTTCCATGTTTGAAACTTTTTATGAATTTTAGAACATATTCAAGACACATTAAAACAAAACATTTTAGACTTTTTTATAAAATTTTAGCCTCTTAATTGTAGAGTTTGGTGGTATTAACATTACCTTGGAATGAGTGAAGAGAATTGAATTGAATTGAAAATACCAATTCTTGAGTGCTCTCCATAGTTTTGCAAAGGGTTGACTAAGCTCAGGATAGATCTACCACAGTTCCCTGTGCTACGACTCTGCAGGGTTTGGGCCCAGGAAATTAGAAGACCCCATTCTCGTCTTTTCTGGACCATCAGAGGAGTCTGAGATGCAGGGACACTTGTGACAGCCCTGCCCCTCAACGCTCAGTGTCTAGGAATGGGCTCACAGCGGGAGCTTTGTGTTCTGCAAATGCATCGCATGCCATGTTTTAGGTTTTTATCATTATTTTTCTAACGTGGCCTGCATGGCACGTTTAGAAGAAAGCCCTATAATGCAAATATGGCTTTGAAGGCAGGGAAGAGTCACTTTGTTGGCTCACAACATGTACTGGAAAAACATGGCAGGCATATCTGAGCATTGAATGGGACGGAGAAACAAACAGCCCAAGTTCAAACCTTCTGTGTTTGGGAGTTCGGTCCAATCTGGCCTTTCCTCTCGGATGTGCGCACACTGGGATAACTCACCAGGATTTTTGCGGGGCTCTGTCTGTGGGGCTCCGGCATCCGCACGTCTCTCTTCCTGACAAGATGAGGGATGGTCGAGTTTCGCAAAAAGGCGCTCAGCTCGGGGGTGTCCTCTGGGGGGGCGGCGGGCTGCAAAGAGAAAGCAAGAGATAGCACATCAGTCTCATAAATGCTCGTCACCTTTTCGTTAGCCTTGAACGCCAGGCATTTTCCCCCTCAGCGGGCTAGGAGTCACAAGAGAAGCCAGACCCATCCCGATTTGCCAGCAGTGTGTTCAATCACACAATGAAATGCATGGACAAGGGATAAGGCTTCCCGTTCTCCAACCATAGGAGCTCCTGAAGGATGGGGAATGCCTTCCTGGAAAGTTTATCTTGTAAGGGTCAGATTTTAAGCAAAAGTGATTTCCCCAGAAAGAAGTGACTTTTCAAGCATGAGTCTTTATTTTCCTGTTACTTTTCTCTCTTCATACATCGGTGCTGGTGAAGCTCCAGGAACATTCTGTGTGGTGGGACGGATCCTCAGGAGGCAGGAAAGAGAGGCACTGGCCGTGGGGAAACAGATGTAGTCGAGGACCCGACATCAGCATGCCCGAGCCCCACGCTCCCTCAGGAGTGAATTGTGTTCTAATAAAAATGACTTTTCCAAAGCATGCCACATGAACATTGTGCTGTAAGGGAGCTTGTTTTCAGCCCTCAGTTTGTTTTGCGATTGTTCTAGAACTTATGATTTTATCTCAGGCTCCATGCTGGGTACATCTGATAGCTGAATAAATATTTTGAAATGCCAATAAATCACACATAATACCCCATTAGAATTTTTCATTTTAGACTGACTGAATATAGAACCTTAATTTTCTGCCCCTACCCCAAGTCCCCCAAACACGTTCTTTTACTCTTTTTATTTAAAAAAAAATTTTTTTTTTTAAGATTTTATTTATTTATTTGACAGAGAGAGAGAACACGTGCACAAGCAGGGAGAGCGGCAGGCAGAGGGAGAAGTCAACACCCTGCTGAGGACCCT